TTGGACCCTGAGCAGTCTCGAGTGTGCTATACTAGTAAGCACATCCGTCTATCTATGGGCCAGTTCTAGTCTCGGCCCACGAGGCCTCATGATAGGAGGCTGTATAGGTCGGTAAGCTTGGCAGATCACAACATTGCTTGGCTCATGTTGTCGAATCAACTTGCGTATTGCGTACATCACATCCTCGATCTAGTCTACGACCTAGCCACTGTTCGCTTTACCGGAAGTGGAGGGGGAAAAAAAGGAAAGAAAACGAGTAGTGGGTTAATGGTGATAGTAAAGTCTATGGGTCAGGATCTGGGGCAGCCCTGAACGAAATGACCATGTTTGCCTGCTTTGCTGAGCCCTCCTGGACGGTGGCGTTGTATCCTCCACCCCCAACCAAGTCCTTGAGTGTGATCTCCCTCGTCCGCCCCAGCGCCTCCAGCTCGTCTAGGCGCTCCTGTGTCTCATCCAGAAGCTCCTGGAAGCCCTCCTGGTTTACCACCTCTCGGAACACATTCTGCATCGCGACCGAGTCGGCGCGGACCTTGGAGTTGGAGTCGATGGAGAAGATGTTGATGTGATCGTGGGCTTGGATGAAGTCGAAGCGCGTCATGATCTGCCGCGCCTCGTGCAGCGGAAGCTCGGGCAGGGCGAACGGGCTGATGGTCCCGTCCTTCTTCATCTCGTCCTCCTTCGCGACAAGTGCCTTGGCTAGCACCATGGCCGCCATGCAGAAATCCTGCTGCTTCTCCGCCTCGGGATCCATCTCCTTGCCGAGGATCCAGCACTGGTTGAGGAACCACTGCTTCTCCCTCTCGACGATGGATTTGCACGCGCGGTCCATGTCGGCTGCCTTGGCCACCTGGCTAATGAACCGTAGCCTTCCCCCGATCTTGGCGTAGACCTTCTCCACTGCCTCTGCCGTTACCTTCTCGTGGAAGACGCGTGCCCGGAACTCCTTGATAGCGTCTACCGCCGTGTCTCGCGAGATGTCGTGGACAGGGAGAACCCGCATCCGGGTGGCATGCGGCCGTAGACGCTCCTCGATCCAGTACTCGTCGCTGATGAAAACAACCGTAACAAGCATACTGGCAGCCCAAAGCTCCGCCCTCTGCTGTATAGCCTCGAGCAGATGGCGACCCTCGTCATCGTCCCGCAGCAGGTGAGCGCGGTTGATGATGAGCAGCATCGGCCTTCCCGTGAGCTGGCGGCGCCTGAGGGCGATCTTCTCCATCTTGTTGAAGGCGCGCTCAATGTCGAGCAGGGGCGTGGCGTCGCGCGGGCCCTTGAAGCTGAAGAGGCTGCCGATGTAGTCCTCGTGGAAGTCGTAGTTGAGGGCCTTGCCGAGCCGCAGGCGGAACACCTCGAGGTCGCCGTGGGCCTCGAGCATGGCGATGCCCTTGCCCTCGATGCGGCGCATGGCCTTGAGCAGCATCGACGTCTTGCCGGTGCCCTTCTCGCCCGTGATGAGGTGGTACTGGCCCTGCGAGGTGCCGTCGACGATGGCGTCGATGACGCTCTGCTCCTGGCGGGAGATCCAGTTGTCGTCCTCCATGTCCTTGAGGATGACCACCTTGCGGCCCAGGTTGGCGTACGTGTGGCGCGTCAGGGCGGCCAGCTCGGGCGTCGAGTAGCCCTCGTCAAAGGCCTTGTCCATCTTCTGGAGGACGAGCCACTTGTAGTACATCTCGTACGAGTAGCCGATCAGGCCCAGCACCACGACGGACCCGAAGGCCGTCGCGCCGCCCTCCAGCAGCCTCGACTTCCAGCCGCCCTTGGCGTCATCGTCGTGTCCTGGTGAGTGAGGCCGTCGCCGTGAGTTTTTTCCGGAGCCGGACTGCTTCCTGGCGGCAGGATCTGCTTGTTCCACAAAGACGACGCGCTGCGCGTAGGCTGGCCGATCGATCCGTGCCAGACGACCCTGGGAGAGAGGAAAAAGGAAAACGTTTAATCAACCGGCGTGTCCAAAGGGGTCAAGATGGGCGGATGGAGCCGGCCGGGTCCTTACTGATTGAAGCCTTGCGAGGCGGGCGAACCTCGTCATCGGGAGACGGTACGGGCACGGGGCCACGGCAGCCCTGCCCGTCTGTATAGGTAGTATGTAGTATGTAGTATGTAATAGCGCAGGCGGCAGACTCGGCGGGAGATGTGGCAATACGGGATGGACCCAGAGAGCCGGAGGAGAAGTGCGGATGGATGTGCCGTCTTCTGGTCTCGGACCCCGGACTGCGGATTCGGAGATGGTGTAGCCGCAGGGAATGAATTGCCTTCTCTCCTGTTTTCTGCTCTTCTCTTCTCCCGACTGGCTGGTCGTCTCGCTCCAAATTGCGCGCAAAATCTGATGGTTGAAGCGTCAAGTGCCAAGAAGGATCACGTGTCTGGACGCGCGTCGTTGAAGTTGTTGGAGCGTGTAATCGTCGACAGCCAATTGACATCTCATCGACATCCAGGGACCACGATACCTAACAAGAAGCTGCCAGAACTATCTGGCCAATTTTTTTTTTTTTTTTTTTTTTTGGCAGTTCACGATGTAGGGTGTTTGGGGAAAGTCTGAATGACAACTCCTCACAGAGATTCGCGTCACTCGGCGTGTTGGAGGATGGTGACTCGGAGCGCCTCATTCTCATTTAGATCGGAGCACATGCAGCGACACCGCAGCAATAGCTTCACTTCAAGAGTAGTCATCATCTCCTACTGGGACGAAGCTGAGGGTCGGCGTGTTCGGAGTGTTGGTTGGTCTCAGTGGGCCAGGGGAATGCAGCCAGCCGTGTATGCGGGCTGCCAAACACACCTTGCAAGGGCTCATTTGATTTGACCAGCTGTGGATTGAACAAGGTCCGGTCCGGCGCGTTCAATTGGGCGCTGGTCACGCTGGGCAAATGCCTCTGGTGGTGTGCATGTTGGCCACAGGGCGTAACTTGTCGTTGTAAGGCGCGCCTTGTCCGAGCCGGACACAGGCTGGGCCATCCACCAGTGGAACGATTGTGGAACGAATTCTCTGCTTTCTCCGGCGCGGGATTCTCTTCATTGGCTCGACTCTGGCCGTGCTCCATCCAGCCGTCGAGGGATGTCTGCCCCCCAGCCGCACAGTTGAATGTGATTCATCGCCCATGTGGGCGGCAGTTGTCATTGACTAACAGTATTCTTTCTTGTCGGAGAGGATTGTAGAATAATGTCTCGTAATGTCGTCAATTTTTTGGCGGCTGCTCCACATCGTTTGCGGTGGCCTGTCCTGTATATAACCAGATGCGATCCTGGTGATGGCCTCATCCAATGTTTCACCAACAAAGTGCGACTGTTCAACAGGAGGACGAGAAAATCCCAACTTAATTCACCAAGGATACAACAAAAATGCCCTGTTCCAAGATACGACTGGCCAGCCGGACCAAGGGCCGAGCTGAGGTGAACATCGACGGTCACTATGAAAGCAAAATCTACACAAGCGGCTCGCGGATCTCTGGCGAAGTAGTCATCTACCCTTCCGAAGACATCCAACTCCCTTGTGTGCAGGTCAGCCTGATTGGTACAGCCAAGACCATGATGGAAACAGTCCCTGCTCCGCGGGTCACCACTTGCACCTTTCTAGCCATGGACTCACCACTGGCCGATCAATACGATTCCTTCGAGGCTGGCTGCGCCCGCGCCATCCCATTTGATTTCATTATCCCACACGAAATACCGGTCACAGAGTCAACTGTCAACCGACCTACGGGGGTCATGAGGTCATATCAGCAGAAACTACCCCCATCGCTTGGCGGCGGATGGGAGGCGCGAGATATGTCTCCCCTGTGCTGTAGGATTCGATACGATATCAAGGCTATGGTTTCCAAGAAGACAGAAGATGGTAAAATAATCGCTGAGATTGCTGCCAGCCGAGCCATCCACATCCTTCCATCACACCCAGAGGAGCCTCCATCAGGGTTGGGCGAAGACAACGTTGTATACACCCTGAAGAAGAGGAAGACTCACCGAGGGCCGCTATTTAAGAAGCTTGGATACGTTACCGCGACATTGTCTGAGCCGGAAGCGTTGCGGGTAGACCCTCGGGGCGGTATCGTCCCTTATCACGAACACGATCTCTATATCGACATTGGCTATGAGCTTTTGAAGACAAGCAAGCTGGCAGGCTCAAAACCTCTAGAAGTCAACGTTGTCTCGGGCAAGATTGAATCACAAACCTGGTTCAGCGATATAGGGATGACTAAACTACCCAACATGATCCCGCCGCGAACCGCAGCCATTGCATACCAGCCTTTATGCTATACAACCTCGTTACCGATTGATTTCGAAGATGTCTTACAAAAGCCGTGGGCTTCTGAACAGAAGGAGGAGGACCACGGATCCATCCTCCGCACGAGCCTGAAGGTCTCTGTTTCCTCCAAAGCCGACAACATGCTCATGCTACCGACGTTCTACTCGAGAATCATCGCCCGAACATATACTATTCGTCTTACAATCAACGTGGGTGGTGTTGGGGGTGCCAACTTCAACCTGTCTGCCCCGTTACAGGTAGTTGTGCAGCCTTCAGGTGTGAAATTGAGGTCTGATTGCGTGCTGGAAGAAGAGCTTCCGAGTTTCGATTCGGTTGCTCATGCACGGTACGAGTTCGTGTAGATGGAAAAGGGAATGCCCGAGGAGGCTTAGACGAAAATGTGTCAGTAATCTCAAGTATGATACCAAGTAGCGATGGTTTTTGCATTGCCCTCTTTTTTTTTTAAAGGAAATTAATCTCAGTTCAATATATCCATAGCGTTTATAATTTAAAAATAGTTCAAACATAGTTCCCTCTAAGTGGACTCGATGATATCAAGAATGTTGAATGTATTTTGATGAGCTTTATCGACGATTAGGAAGTCAAATCTCGATTCTATTCTATGCAATTTACCCAATTTCCCTCCATGTGAACGCCTTTTCCCTCTAGTTTATCCCATAAGTGGTGAGATCTACATATTATATATATACTGAATAAGTGAGAAGAATTGTAATGAGTTGCGTGGCAGTGGGTTTATCGCCACTTAGTAAATCTGGACGTTGAAAAACGTCTTCTGTCGAATCTTCTCACCATACATGAGGAAGATCACGGGAACGGGAATCATGGCTACAGCAATGAATGCCAGCAGGGAGGTACCCCATCCGTAGCCTAGAGAGTTGTACATTCGTCCGCCAACCAGGGGAAGAAGTGCTCCAACCAGTGATCGGAGAACGGTGGTGGCAGACATGGCTGATGCTGCGTAGCGAGTGTAGGCATCTACAATGTAGACAGAGATACCCATCTTGGAGATTGTCAGCGAGAAATCCAGCGAGAGAAAAGAGGGTTGAGGGCCAACTTACAAATGCGCACATCATTCCGAATCCGAGGAATCCCATCCCGACAATGGGGAGAATCCAGTGCAGGTTTTTCTCAGCAGTCCAGCCGTAGACGAAGAGGCCCAGAGGGACAAAGAAAGATGCGATGATCATTGTAGGGAGTCGGTATTCGGGCTTTGGCTCCCCTCCATTCCTTGCCGTCAATCGCCTCATGAGACGATCTGAAAGACCACCAGAAAGGGCCAGGCCCAGGATGGAACCTACTCCGCTACCGATGTACGTGAGGCCGATCGATCCTGTAGAAAACCCGTACTGTTTTGCATAGAGTGTCGGCAAGGCGGTGAACAAGAGGTACAGATAACCGTAGATAATGGCCATGTACAGAGAGAGGAGGAGGATAATGGGCGAGAATAGGAGCATCTTGGTGGGGCGAATAATGGAGGTTTTGAAGAGCTCTTGGGCCGTCACGCCGGTGTCTGCAGCTGAGCGCAGCTTCTCGTTTCCTGTCTCTTGGCGAAGCTTCTTCGTCTTCTTCTCAAGGATGGTGTAGGCGTAAGTCTCTCGCATGAAAGCAATCCCGATGAGAGTGATGACGCCAGACTGTTCAAGTTAGTCGAGGCCTGGGTTTCTATTGGGGGGTCGCTATATATACTCACCAGCATTGCGACAACCCAGAACGTCCATCGCCAGTCCTTGGCTTGCGTCAAGTATCCTCCGGCTGGAGAGCGATGTTAATAACACGAAAGTGAGCCAAACATCTAGGTGTCTTACCGATAGGGCCAACAATAGGACCAATGATGGGACCCATGGCCCAGAAAGCCATTGCGGTACCTCGTTTCTCCTGAGGGATGATATCTGCAATGGAGCCAGCACCCAGGGTCAGAGGGCAGCACCCAAATATCCCAGCAAGGAAACGGAAGATGATCAAGCCTGCCAAGTTCGGGGCCAAGGCACAAGCGACGTTGAAGATGATGAACAGCACGTTGCAGATGTGGTAAATCCACAACCGCCCGTACATCTCCGACAGAGGAGCGAGGACCAGGGGACCAAAACAGAATCCCAGCAGATACACCGAGACGATGAATGAGGCTAGTTGCTCGTCTGTGGACTTGAATTCGGTCATAACCTGGTTAATAGCGGGCGCAAAGACGGAAGATGCGAGAGGTCTAGGCACTGTTAGAACACCATACATCATCAATAGTTGGCGATTGCTGTGGGAGAACTGACGTGATGAAAGTGATCATGGAAATGAGCGCCACGATGGTGTTTTTCTTCCTCGGCGGCCAATTCATTGGATTTTCCGGATCATCTGGACCGTCCCAGTCCACGACGTTGGGGTCCGTGGACTGGGGAGCTTGTGAATTGATATCGGTTGAGCCTGTCTCGAGATCAAGGTCCTGCTTGTCCGGGATGGGACCGACGAGAGCTTCTTGTTGTTTCTCCATTTTGGCAGTATGCGTTCTTCATCGAGTTGCAGTAGATTCGGTTTCGAGGTCGGATCGGGTCCTTGGTGAGCTTGGCATCTGCAGTGCTCCAGGGAAACGGTCAGCTTGGCGAGGAGGGCATGGCGGGTTTTATTTAATTTTGCGTCCGGGCTTTGACAAAGGTCCGGAAGACGGAAGACGGCACATACGAGGGCCGGGCATCGCATCAGGAGGCACGCACTCTGCAGTAGTCGCGACCTAGGGCCGAGCGTCCGACTCGTTGGCCGTTGCATTTAATCTGACAAAGCTCCAGGATGCTTACGATATTCTCTGGAAATGGGTTTCTTACTTGTCTTCTGATTTTTCCTATATTTACTTGAACAATTATTACTTATTTTCACGATGCCTCGACGTCTCTCTCCAAGTCAACAGATACATCAACCCATCAAAGCCAGCATGGGCCACCGTCAGATTGCTCACTAGACACGCAAACAAAACACTAAACTCAATTAACTATTGGGGTTGATTAGTCTACTGGTGGGTCTTCTGGGGGCACAAATCTTAAATCCGGAAGTTCCATGGAAACTGGATGGAAAGTCCGCGGACTCTCCGTCTTACACCTCCGCCTCACATCTCCGCCGCCAATCTCCGACTCTGTGACCCGTCCGTCCTCATATGCTGCGGTATTGACGGAGGTTGCTTTGGAGCCGAGCCAAGTGTTGCCATCCTCTGAACCAGCCAAGCCAAGCCGCCAGAGCAGAGTCATGCCTCGCCCGTCTCGCCAACGGCCCGTGTCTTGCTCCTTTTGTCGAGTCCGGAAACTGCGCTGCTCTCGGGACTTTCCTTGCACCAACTGCACATCCCGCGGGCGCCAGTGTCCCCATCCCAGCGACGACAAGGATATCCACCAGGCCCCATTGAATGTGAATGCTCTGGCTGCTGCTGTGAGCTCACTGTCCCCGACCTCGAGTGTGGGTGATGGCGCTATTCTAAGTCGCCTGGAGCGACTAGAGGCTCTGTTAGCCACCCACACGAAAGAACCCCAGAGTGCCCATGGACTGCCTGTGGACACGCCGTCATCGGTGGGCAGTCATCAGAGCGAGAAGGCCGTGACTCAACAGATTGCACTACCCCCCATACTACCCCCCAACGCACACAAGCTGGATGCAGATGCCGTCTTACTTGAACAATCCACTTTCGCATCCCCTAATCCCAATGTAAGCAAGCAACTCCGCTCTACTGCTGTTCTTGTTAGTCGGTTGTGTTGATGCTAAATGCCGTGGTCTCTTGATGCTTGGTAGGACACCACCGTCCTTTCAAACTCATATGTCTTCCGCATCTGTCCCATACGCCTAATCACTCCGTCAGCAACACCCTACATTTTCCAGAGTCCACCATGTGGCAGCTTCCCGGAACCAGTAAGATGCATTTGGCTTCCCCAGCGTGAAGAGGCCAAAGAGCTGGTCAACGCCTACATCGATGAGCTCATCTTTCTCCAACACATTACCCATGGCCCAGCGCTTCGCCTCTTAGTTGACCAAGTATACGATAGCTTGCAGTCCGGAGCGGATGTGCACTTGGGCTCTGTTGCCTTGATGCTCTCTGTATGTGCTGACATTACTTATCTCTGGACTCCTGCAATTTCGAGGCCGGCCATCAACTTGTCCGATGCCGAAGCCAGTTGTCAGTCCAGCTTCTGGACAAAGGCTAGCTTGGATGTGTTGGACCATGGCCATCGGAACTCGCATGTTTCGATCGAGGCCATCCAGGCCACCATGATGCTGACCTTCATCATTGGAAATATGGAAGGAATAGCGATCCGATCCCGCACAATTGTAGCCCAGGCCATTACCATGGCCCGTGAGCTGAGTCTCCATCGGATTGACTGCCGCCTCTTGCCTGGCCAACTACCGCGGTACACTGGCATCCAAGCTGAGATCGGCCGGCGCGTGTGGTGGTATCTCGCCGCTACTGATTGGTATGGCCTTGGCCTCCTTTGGCTTTTTCTCCATAAATATCGGCTGATAATGAATGTTGTAGGATGCTATCGCGGTTCTCTGGGCCACACGAAGGCGCATATACCATCTTCCCCAGCCAAATGTCTGTTAACCGCCCTTTAAATATCAACGATGAAGATCTTACCGACGACGGCACGATGGTCGGAAGACCCGTCGAGGAACCAACACATAGCTCATACTTCCTGCAGCGTGTCGAACTTGCAAATCTCCTACGTGTCCTTTCCGACCGAATGCCGCACGGTCCGGCGCACGCCGAGTACAGTGTCATCCTCGAGCTGGATGCCACTATCGATCGCTTCCTCCAAGGGATCCCCTGTTTCCTCAACCTGGACGCAGACGGCCTCGCGCAACAAGAGGCATCATGCCCTCGTCGCAGAGCTCACATCATGATCCAAAAACACACCATTAATTTAATTACCTACAGCCAGCGCTGCAAACTGCATCTCCCCTTTTTTGTGCGCGGTACTTTCGATCCCGCATATGCGTATTCGCGGTCAGTTTGCCTCAAAGCTGCTGGGGACATCCTGAAGATGGAGCGGCTGTTGAGAACAGAGCAGTACCGTTTCGCACTGCGATGTTCCAAGCTTAGCCTGATAATCCACAGCCTGTTCTCTGCTGGTCTCGTCCTGCTGATGGATCTGGGTCTCAAGAACGGGTCCGCTGATAAGTCGGAAAGCCGTAGCCGGATGAGGCAGATCTGGAACGTCCTTGAGGAAGCGAGGGGCCAATCAGGACTTGCGAAGCGATTATTGGAACTACTGAGGCAGGTGATGAAGAAGCACAATGTGCCGGTTCCAACGCCTCATGATGAACCGGGGGTCAGATCGACTGGTTTCGAGCGCGGGCAATCTGCCCTCCCTCTCACGCCAAACTCTGGGATGAGCAAGGGGAGGACATACGGGGATTCACCATCACATCCTGACTCTATAGACTGGGGGAACCTCGGAACTGATATGGACATCGATGGAGTTGATTGGGATAGCCTTATGATTAGTTTTGACGGGCCATTTGTGTAGCGATTAATCCACACCATCTCCGCTCTGTTCAGGATTTCTTGGATCTTGATCCAGGGGTTCGACTTAATCAATACTAACAATGACCTTTGAAGGCACTGTTCGTAACTGACACGCTTTTTACATCTACTAACAGGGATTGATATAGGCACCTAATACACATTAACGACAATTCAGGCATGATTACAGAGAAATCTTCGCTAAACGGTCCATATGTTCTCTAAATCAACACTGCTAGGAGAAAAATGCCCTTTATCGTGGTCATCTCCGGATACATATACTGTCCTACGCCTAAATGGGAGACAAAAAAAATGTCGCACGTAGAATGCTGCACTCAGCCTCTGGTATCCATCAACAAAAGTTACACATTGGGCGATCGAAAATAATCATGGGAACGGAAGAGTCCATGATTTCGAATCTGGCGGTCATATGACTATCATTATTAACAAAAGAGAGCCATATCAACAACTTTTTTATGCCCAAGATTGACAGGCGTGCCACCTTTTTTGTCGCCCATTTTAGCACGAGAAAAAAAAGCACACACGTGACTGCCTCCATATTTTTGCTCTCCTCCATTTCATGCTCGTGGGAAGGAGGCTGGATGTTGCGATATTGATGAGGATAATATCTTCCCCTTGCCTTACGACATATTTATGCATTATTCTCCCTGAACCGGGCTCCCCAGTGCTAGAACCGGCTGCGATATGCGTGCTTTACACCAACATGTCGTCTAATGAAACATCACAGAATGTGGCCCTTCCAAAAGACCTCATGGAAGTCCAATTGGGCCAAGTTGACCTTCTGGTAGCCATGTACTCATCAGATGAGGCCATTTCTCTGGACTCTACGTCGTCTCAATTGGTGGAGACTCTGAGAGCATGGTGTGAGGGTGATGAAGAAACCCCACCAAAGATCGCCGAGCCAGGCATATCAGCACTTCTCAACCTCGAGGTCCCTCAACAGGACGGCTCTCTAACAAGCGAGAATGTCCTCCAGCTTGAGGTTTTATTTCCTTTGGTTCCCCATCCAGATGACGCAGCTGAGGGTGCACTGACCGACCCGCCTCCGCCAAAAGTCAGGGTTCGACAACCTGCTTGGATGAGCAAAGCGGATGCAGCGCGGTTAACTAGTGACATTCCCGAGGAGGATATCTTCACTATTATCGAAGCTGTCAAAGACTTAGCAACTGAGTATCTCGTATCGAAAAACGCATCTGCCCTGGAAAATGCCAAGACGCACACAGATGAGGCAATTGTTCGCGTATGGTTTTACTTCCCCTCGATCAGCACACGCTCGAAACGAGACGACTTAATCAACCATGCACCCGGATACGGCTTGACTGGCTTTCTCTTGGCCGGAAAACCGGGCGTTCTTTGCGTTGAGGGTGGTTCCCAGGCGATAGACGATTACATGAAGTTTATAAAGACGGAGAGCTGGGGAGATATTCCCTCCGGCCACAAGAAAGTCAGTGAGCGATATCGAGAATCTGGGTCTGATATCAAGAGGGCCTTTCTGGATATGCAAGAAATTACAGATGATCTGGGTGAAAGACGAGGGGAGAGAGCAAATCGGAACGACATGAAGGCACTAGAAGCTTGGCTAAACGAGAAGGGAGTTGGAGACGCCTTTAATAAGGTCCTTATCTAGCAACTCAACAAAGAGCAATTTACGAAAATTGTGGGCGTCATTCGAAGAAGGTGTTTTGCTAGGAGCTGAATGGGCAGCCTGCTTCCTTTCTTGCGTCTCCAGTTGATTCCCGGCAACGGAGGACAGTTTTCGCAGCCCGCCACTTTTGCTACCAATACGCCAAGCTTGGCAGGTGGAATAACTAACTCATCGACTAATTAGTCAAGCGCAAAAAGAAGCAAAAATGTGAACCTACAACAGCCGGGATTCGCTGGTCGTCACCGACCCAGCTACTAATCGGCCCCTTGCGAGCTTAACGTACGGAGAGCGAACGGGATCCAGTGCTGTCTCGCAGGTATGGTCGTAGATGTAAGTGGTTGATGCTATTCAGCTGATATTGGTGGTCTCTGACTCTCTGGGCAGTGAAGATGTGTGGCCCCCGCACCCTTCAAACCGTGATGATCGGCGATTCTCCGCAAGCAAGAGTCCGGCAAACCTCCGACCCCACCTCTGAAGGACATTGCGAACCATTTTGAGGAGAAAGGGAATAGCTAATGGTTCCTTGATGATATCCATATCCTTTTACGTGGAATAGATACACCTATTCGATAGCATTATGAAAATTCTCATTACCGGGGCCTCAGGCTTTGTAGGCCAGAACCTGGTCCAGCACCTCCTCGATGATGAAAGCGGGCAGTATAGCTTGGTCCTAACCGACATCGTCCTACCCACAGTTCCAAAGGGTGTCAAGTGGCCAGACAAGGCCAAGTGCATCCAGGCAGATCTCTTTTCCGACGCCGCAGCCGTCGTCTACGAGGACATTGATGCCGTTTACATGTTCCACGGTATCATGTCCTCGGCAGCCGAGGCGGACTTTGATCTTGGTGAGTAAACACGTCAATTGGAAAGACGACAATGGACACAAGCATCTAATACTTTATCCAAGGAATGAGGGTGAATGTTGATTCGACCAGATCATTATTGGAGGTATTGCGAAAGACTCGCCCAGGAGTCAAGGTCATCTATACTTCCGCCGGCGCGGTACATGGTGGCAAGATAACGGAACCGGTCACTGAGGGAGCCCGCACGACACCCCAGAGTTCTTATGGGTGCGAGAAGATGATTTGCGAGTATCTCATCAACGAGTATCACCGCCGGGGGTTCATAAATGCTCTCGTGTTCCGCCTGCCTTCCATATCGGTTCGAGCTGGAAAGCCCACTGCGGCGGCGTCTTCCTTCATCTCAGGCATAATCCGGGAACCTATGCAAGGCCTTCCCTGCGTCGTTCCCATAAAGGACAGACAGTTCAAGCACACCATCTGCACGCCGAGAACCCTTGCCTATAACCTGATTTATGCGCTTAGCATCCCTCGTGATGCGCTCCCAGACTACGACAGGGTAGTTAACATGCCTGGTCTCCTTGTTACTGTGCAAGATCTGCTAGACTCACTCGTCAGAGTCGGTGGAGAAGATAAGTTACAGTATATTACGGAGGTGGAAGACCCTAAGGTGAAGGCGATTCTGTATTCTTGGGCCACCGCGTTTGACCCCAGCAAGGGTCTGAAGCTTGGCCTGAAGATCGACCAGAGTTTTGATGATGCGGTCAGAGATTTCAAAGATACCCTGTAGATCAGTGGATTTGAATGTGGAAGAAGCCTATGAAGGAACTCGCGAATCTGCGGAAGAAAGAGACTGCATTTACCTTAGCCGAGTGCAAAGGTGCCTGACGATCGGTCATCAAGAGAATATCGTAACCGGAAACGTGATTTCAAGGCATATATTACTACATTACTACTAGCCTCCCTCTCCTTGAATCTATACCTCATCTTCCGCAGCATCCATATGGACCCATTCGCTGAGTAACTGATCAAGTTCGGCAGCTTCTTTGTCTGACATAGACTGAAACTTCGACGCTGCTGCACCTTTGGGCCTGCAGTCGGTAGATCCCAGATAATTCAAATGATCTTTAATACGGAACTTCACCGAGCTCCCGTTGCAGTCGGAGTTGTTATTCCCCTCGCAGATTGTGATGTTGGCAATTGGCCAGTTGTTGGGGTCTGCAGGCTTGCCTGTGAGCCAGTATTCAGGAGACACATGACGGTACTTGTAGGGCGTCAAGGCGGAGGGAGGAACACGAGGCACAGGATCGCGGCCGTGTGTGATTCTGTGCTCATTGCCCTTCTGGTTTGTGATGAAATCACTGAGGGCGCCGTTTCCAATGCGAGGAGCACCATAGCTGTATAAGTCCGCGTCGTAGCCTGCTTTGCGAAGATAGGCCGTCGCAATGGTTGCGACAGCACCGCCAAGTGAGTGGCCGGTTGCGATGATCGAGTAGGTTGGATGCTCCTTCTTGGCCTGCTTGACTGCGGCCAATACTCCCACAGATATTTCTTGCCAAGCGTTGCTGAAACCACCATGAATAAGCCCGCCTTCGACGAGGTCCGAATTTTGTGCGACAAACTTGAGATTCGTCAACCAGTTTTTAATGTTGGATGTACCTCGAACGGAAAGAACGATCTGTTTTCGTGAGTCGATGGTGGCAACGTAGGCCGCAATTTTGGTGAGAGGGCCCCTGACCATTTCATAAGCTTGGGATTACTTGGGATTGCTGCGTTACTCACTCAAAGCCTTGGACAATAATAGCCCCGTCTGATTGTACGGTTGGGCAACCGCCCTGGCAAATGACTGGATCTCCAGCATTGGTGGCGTAATTACAATAGGACGCAAGAGCGTATTCGGCATATATATCGAAGTTGCGAACGTCTTTCTCAGTGACAGGTGGAACTAGCACTGGTATCCACTGTTAGATCAACCAGATCAAGCCGAGAGATTTGGAAGTCCTACGACCATCCCTCTGTAGGAGGGGTTTGTTATTGTAGTATGCTGTATCTATCACCGAGGCAGCTGCCAGGGTGGCAAACGGAAAAAGGAGGGTCGGAAGCATCTTGGTCCGAGAAAAGCAACCAACTAGGGAAGAACTTGGGACAAAAATCAGTGTGTAGCTGAAGTTCAGGGGACTACTTCTTCAAAGGAGGTTAGGTGAGAGTTCTGGTGGCTTTAAATGTACACAGGTGCTGTTGAAGAAGGGCCACCGAGTTACCAAGATATGGCACATTCCACATTTTCGGTAGCCAAAAACCCCTTGTTTGATGAATTATTGATCCAATCCATGGAATATCTCTGGTTGGTATCGGTGCTATTATTTCTACATCACTCTGGCTACCTACACAATCTCTATGTAGCCAGCATGTTTCGGATACTTAACATTCATGATCAGCTTCAAGTCAGACGCCAACATTCGTAAAATGAGAGGGTCTCTCAGTCTTCAGGAATGTTGAAATGGGAGTTTTCAGAATTTGAAGCCCTGATTTCTGGAACAAGGGACCGTGGGAAGAGTTCGTGGAGCTCCCTTGTCGATGTCTCGTAATCGAGTCCCTTGAATTTTAGACATACAATCTCCAAGCCAGAGACATTTTTCCAACCGATCTTAGACAGTTGTACCGTGGCCTCGGTTACGGGGATTTATTTCTGCTACGATATATCTTAATATCTCCAGCCCTTATGTATCACCATATTCGGGCCGGGATCTAAGCCAGTGTAGACCTCCTCTTACATTCACCAGATGGCGCTTGGATCTCAGTTCCCGCGGGAAGCGGTGGCGCAAGCTGAGGTGAGCCATCCTCATTCCATTGGACCTGCTGAATAAACGTCTGCCTCTTTGCGTCGCAGCTTCCGTTGGAATTCCTGTTTGCGTGGAAGACCATCCAGTCTTGCTTCCCATCGGGGCTCTTGAAAAACCCGTTGTGCCCTGGGCCGTACATCCCATTCTCAATACTTGTAACAAGCAAGGGCTCCTGGAGCTTGGTCCACGACGAGGCCAGCAACGGATCAGCACCAGGCGAGAGCTTCATGCCTCCTAGCTTGTACTCGGGACCGTTGCAGCTATCGGCGGAATACACCACCCAGACCTCTCCAGAGGGAGACGTGATGCCTGCTGGGCCTTCTAGAACTGCTGAGACCTCGTGCTCCCAGTCTAAGTCTGGATACGCGATCATCGTGGCTGGACCGACAGTTGTAGGGTCCAAAAGCTTGGAAATCCATAGCGAGGCACCATTCGGCGATTCATCGTCGCTGGCCACCGATGAGAACTGGCTCCGAGGTCAGATACTATCAGGTGTCTATGCATCTGAATTACTCACAATGAAATAATCCTGGCCGTCGATATTGTACACGGTCTAACCAAAGTCAATGCTGATCAACAATCAAAAACTGCTTCTTTCAATCTTACCCCATCCAGCATTCCGCCGTGGTAGTTATCGGGGCGTATTTTGCCGACGAGGGAGAACGGTTCGTCTAGGGGCGCTCCGGTGCCTCCTTCCAGGACCCATTGGGTGAGACTTGGAAGCATCTCGCCCCAGGTACCATTTATGCTCGTTGAGAAGTACACATACCAGCGGCCGTTGAGACGCCAGATTTCAGGTGCCCACCAGTTTCTCGTCCTTAAAGGGTCTGATTTATCGTCGTAGATGACAGTCGGGATGGCCGTCTTCAGTCCTTCAATTGTCCGAGCCTTTGTAATTTCGACCGTGGTCCAGCTTGTAGAAGTGAGATAGTAGCTGGGACACGATGGTTACCAATGTATTATTAAGTAGTGGGCAAAAATGAATTACTCACTAGCCGTTATCATATACCATTTGGGGATCACTTCCATTGAGCGTCTTGATTGGGTTCGTGAACGCTAGTGTGAAGGAAGACCAAAGCCAAGCCGCGGTTAAGGCTGATTTGGTGATGTTCAACATGGTGCCGTTCCAAATGATAACTCAAATATGGGAAGTTTGACGAATGAACTTGGGACTTGACAAATAGGAGTTGAAAATGCATGGAAATATGTCATGCTTATAGTCTACTGAGCATGGCCAATGTCGGGGCATAATTGGCCGAGTTAATAACTAGGAAGCCTCATGTGAACCGTAAACGGGACCACTCCTCACTTGGGACTCTTCTTAGTTCTGTGATGAAGATCTAGTCTCGTTTCTTGCCGCCATCACTCATTGGGTCGCTTATTAGAATACCCGCGATGCGACGATGGTGATCCTATGTTCCCCATCTGCTCCAATCCGAGCCAATCCCACTAGTCAAATGATTCGGTAAAAAATGGGTATTGATGCTATGGCGAGTGTCAATTCTACCGGCAAGTCCGTAGGAGCCGCCTCAGACGGGAGATGGCGGCTAAACTGTAAATCATATGGGATTGCTAGCCAGCTTCCTTGTAGAGGATGAGTGAGAATGGCCTCTCTCTCCGAAATTCAAGTTATGGATGAACCCAGCCCTCCTAGCGACAATGTACCATGTCTCAAAGGAAGTAACTTGCGGGGGAAGTAAAAGAATAAAGAGTTCATAATAAGTGCCCCGACATGCCGCGGAACAGCATGTAAAACCATACAAAGCAGACTAAAATCCCGACGGTCGTTCCGATGAAGGAAAGAATGTCCCCCAATCTGGACTCACTCCCTGTTCCGGCCTCAACACAGCACGGGCAGGGTCGAGGGATCTCACGCCTTGCAGTCATTGTCCCATAGCTTTGAGAGTACGGCGGGGGAGGAAGACCAATCCCTGGCCCAGAGGAAGAGTCATCAGGCGGTGGTGGGGGATGAGGCTGAGGAGGATGATGGGGCTGAGGAGGATGATGGGGCTGAGGAGGATGATTGGGCTGAGGAGGATGATTGGGCTGAGGGGGATGATGGGGCTTGTTAGGCCTTTGGGGAGAATGAGGGTGGTGGCAGTGGTGATCGTGTGCATTGTGGCCATAGTGATGGCTGGGCAGATGGTGGGTGTGTTGGTGATGGTGGTAGTGGGTGTGGTTATGGTTCTGGTGTTGGTTGCTATGGTTATGATGAAGGTGAGAGTCGAACTACGGCACTTCAGATCAGGATGTCGGCTCAGTTATTGGGAAGGACATAAATAAACTCACAGCAGAATGCGAGGTCGTATCATGGGTGTGCGTAACATGTGTGAAATGGTCGTGAGATGAGTGTGTGTCGGCGGCTGCTGCCGAGGAATCGCCCCCATCGTGATGCATCGTGTAATGAGTATGAATTAGGTCGATTTTAGGTCAGGAGTGAGTTCTGGTGGTCGGCGATGTGAAAGATGTCAGAAAGCTCGAGTTGAATGAAGATGTTGCGTAAACGAAGAAATCAACCAGCCAAACACGGTGAGGCGTTTCTCTACCAGGATCAGGAGCATGACCCAAACAGCAGCTTCTGCCTAAAATTAGAGCCTGTATTCGCGTTTCATTCTGCTCCGCCTCACTGTTTGGACCACTAATTACAAAAGGCCCAAAAGCATCGCGCGTCGCCCAGCAGCTGACTGACTCCCCTGAAAACCGCCCTGATTCCAATCTAGCCTCCACCTGGCTGTGATATGGCAAGGCAGGAAGGGCAACATATAGGCGTTGATACAGGCCCAGTCACTCCGTTTCAAAATAGAGGTCATAGTGATTTGCGCATCCAGGGTTGAAGGCAGCTTTGCAGGTAGGACAGGTTGAGCCGCTAGACAGATACTCATCAATGCTCAACTCGCCACGACAATTGCCGCAAAGAATGGCCTTGGCATCTCGCTCGTTCCTGGGCCAGACAGCAGGCTCATGCTGGGCAAGAGCCTCGTGGCAGCTGATGCAGGCGTAGTAGCGGCCGCAGCACTTGTGTCTGATGGCGATGATATCGCGACTCGAGTGCCAGTGCGCACATTGCGTGAGGCGAGTCACCTCTAGGCCATGGACGACGGCCTCCTCTCCCGCGGCAACAGTTGGAGAGGCCGGAGAGATCGCCTGGTTCGCTGGACTTGGCGTCTGGGCTTCCGGCATTGAGAAAGACGAGGCGCGGGTGAGGTCGTAGATTTCTGATTGTGAGTTGAGCAGCCAGAAATGACGCAGAAAATCTGCCCCGGATGCTTCCAGTAAAGCAACCAGCCGCCTCTAGTTTAGTACCACACCCAACCCCGGATCTTAGCCCTACCGATGGCTTCACCTCGTCAACACTATTTCTTAGCCCGGTATTTGGGAAAGAATAACTCTTCTATCTTTGATGTTTGCAACCCAAGTCGCTATTAATGGGAGCTAGCTTTAGAGGGATGAGAGACCGAACTAATTTAATATGCAGGTCTTCATCCGCAAGCTGTTGGCAATTTGATGAACCTGGGAGATGAAGCGTGAGTGGAAGAAGAAGAGGACAGTTGGCTGAGTATTCAAAAGCATCTAAGCTTTCATCACATCATTCAATTATAAACATCTGTCATGGGTGAGGGCCCATGGCAGACCTCGGTCTCTCAGCTCTCGGTATGATTTATCCTCCCCATCAGCAATGGTGGTCGTCAGTCCAGCATGACCCAGAAGACTGAAGGCCTCGAAATCCACCATGCCCGTGGGATTTGACACAGCCAGCGGGCCATGTTGGATAAGCCTGCGCCGGAAAGGCGAACATTTGTGACGGAGCAGTGGAACGGCGGAGATGCGCGGGAGAAACCGAGTACAGGGGATTGGCAGATTGCAGCAGCTGCCGAGGATGGGGTATCAAAACGGCTAGATCAATCGTCCATACAAGTAGATTTTATAGTTAAGCAAGTTAATAATGGCAGAAGAGATAAATAGACGAAAAAGAAAAGAGTAAAGGCCGGGTAACTATAAACTTGTAGTTGTGGCGCAACGTCGTGGGCTCAGTGGCCTCTGAACCCTGAGTGATGCATAGTTCCTGGTTGGGCGTCGTTGGGCTTCCTTTCTACTGGCTGCTTCTCATCAGCGTCAAGACCAATGATACCACTCGTACCGCAATACGTGGCAACGTGGCGGTGCAAGCTGCATGCTTATGTCAAATGGCTGCCGGTGTGGTGAAATCATTTCGGCTGTTCTAACCTTTTGATACTTCCACCCCGCATCTCCCGGAAATGAAGCATTGCATTCTAGATACTGGAATATCGGTGGCGTATGAGCCTGAAAACGCCGAACCGATTGTTGAGTGAGCAAACTTTAAGGAGAAGGCATGTGTCAAATCGCTGACCCTCGTTGCATAGCTTTGTTTTCGTACATGGGCTCCATGGCCACCCCTACAAGTCATGGACCAGGTCGATTGAGAAGCGAAAGCCTTCATCTTCAGCACTCGTGGAGAAGGTATCTTCAAATAGAGGCAAGGATGTGAGGAAAAATCCCATCCGCCGTGCTATATCACGTATCGGAAGGTCGTCATCGAAGTCATCGCCAAAGCCGGCTTCCCAGCCTGGCTCAAGCAAAGCAGATGATACAGAGAAAATACTGGAGGCTCTTTTCTGGCCAGCAGAGTTGCTACCACTAGAATGCCCGAATTCTAGAATTCTAATGTATGGATATGACTCAAAAATAACTAAGTACACATCCGGTGCAACCAACAAGAGCAGCTTGTTATCTCACAGCAAAGACCTCTTGTTTTCCCTTGCTAGACATGGGGTCCACAACCGGCCTCTCGTCTTCATTGCCCACAGCCTAGGTGGGATTATCGTCAAAGAAGTAGGGCTCTCCACTGCTGCTGAAATTTTGCTTTCCTAACCAGCTGCAGATGCTTGGACGATCATCTTCATCAGCGGAGGATGACCTCCGCAACATTGTCGAGTCCACCGCGGCCATTGTATTTCTTGGGACGCCTCACAGAGGCAGTCCAGAATTCGCCGCCATAGGAGAATCTCTTCGGTCAATCGTCAGCAGCCTAGGAATGGAGACGACCCCGGCAAATCTTGACGCTCTTGGCTTAAAGACTACTGATCTAGAACGAGCGCAGGAAGCCTTCTCTACAATCTGGAATAAGTATGACTTTAGAGTTAAAACCTTTCAAGAGAGCTTGAGTATGACTGGTATCGGGCTCGGCTCTCTTGGGAACAAGGTTGTGCCTGATCACTCTTCGCTGATTGGAGATGTTCGTGAGCGGGCCGAGACACTTCAAGCAAATCATAAGGATATGTCTCGGTACAGCGGGCTTGATGATCCTAATTACCGCAAGGTTGGTGGAGAATTGAGCTTTTTATATCGGTCATTAGTAAATCTGAATTCACAACTACCTATCCGACCTGACGCTTCGATCGAGCAAAAGAACCCGAGTTACAGTCCTTCCGATGAGACGAAATTGGACCACGCGATGAAGAATTACACACTCGATTCGTTGTGGTCCCCAGCGATGCATTCGCGGTACCAGGACATCGCACACCCCGCGGATACCACATGCTCATGGTTATTCAACCACCAACTATACCAGGACTGGTATGGTAAAAACAGCGGTGACAACCAATCCGGGCTTCTATGGCTCAAGGGGAAGCCTGGAACAGGCAAGTCGGTTCTCATGAAAGAGGCTTTCCGTCTCGCAGTTCAGGACCAGAAAACGTCTAATCATTTGGCGGCGGCGTTCTTTTTTGATTCCAGAGGAACCGAACTACCGGGTTCTGAGTCGATCCTTTTCCGCTCCTTGTTGCATCAGTTGTTACTGAAAAGTGACAAGTTATTCTTGCTCTGGTGTGAGAAACTTCAAGAAGAGTCCACTACGATCGAGTCTATGCTTTGTAAGCCCCAAGAGCTGAAACATTTCTTTCAACATATCGTTTCTCAAGACAGCTCAAAACGAATTATTCTGTATATTGACGCTCTTGACGAATGTGATTCGAAGAGCGTGCGGGAACAAGCGTATTTCTGGCGTGAGATTACCATCAAGGCCCGAACAAGAGGAACGCAATTGAGTGTCTGCCTGTCTAGTAGGCATTTCCCAAACATTTCTTTGGCGGGCTGCCCTGAGATCATCATGGAGGGAAACAACCACCAAGATATCCATCAGTATATTGATGACAGGTTTGGGCTTGTGAACAGAGGCGAAACTCAGGAGTCTCCAAACCGTCTTGTTTGCACAAGGGGGCCCTTGGATGATGAAGAGGGACAAGAGAAAAAACTCAAGGATGTCATATTCCAGAAGTCGAGAGGCGTGTTCTTATGGGTTGTTTTGGTCGTCGAAGAAGTCCTTCGCAATCGAGATGACGGAAAAGATTTCGCTTACTTGCTTGACAAAGTTCATATGGTCCCCGGGCCCCTTGAGAGCTTGTTCAAAGACCTACTGCAATATGCCAGCACAGAGGAGAAACGCATTGCACTGGGTCTTTTCCAATGGGCAATACTTTCGGCCTCCCCTCTTCGGCTGTATGAGTGGCATCATATTTTAGCCTTCATCCGATTCCCATCCCTGTCCTCGCTATCAGAATGGAGGCACAACATTCATTTTACCAAGACGGATGATCAGCTAGAGAGGCAAATTAGAAGTCTTTCAAAGGGGCTGGTTGAAGTGAGAAGGATATCAGCAGACGAGCCCCAAGGAGCAGCGTTTGATTCGCTGTCCCTAGACGCTGGAGCAGGCTCCCTAAACCTCGACTCAGGTGGAACTCGAGTTGTTCAAGTCATCCATGAATCAGTACGTGGGTTTTTCCTGCGCGGAAATGGGTTTGGCATACTGAGTCCGGACTATGTTGATAAACCTATCAGTAAAGCACACATGGAAATCATGAACACATGCCTCAACTATATTTATATCCATGAACTGGATGCACTTGTGGACGCACGGAATCATACAAAAAGATCACCGTTCAAACGAACAAGTTCTACTAAACAGGTGCGACCTGACGAAGCAAGCCACGAGTTGGAGAGAGATGATTTAAACAAACCATGGACCCGACACACTCCAATTGACGGTTCAAGCCTCAATGATCCTAGGATGCCGCCGAAGTTTGACAACCTCACGGTAAAGAAGAAGGCGTTGACTAGTAAAGTATTGGAAATTACGCAGGACCAGGTTTTTCCCGTCGACATCCATCTCTGGATGTCGACTAACAAATCCGCACTGGGCGATCTTTCAACTGACGGAGCCCCAGCTCTCTCTATCGCAAATTCCTCAATATCTGGACTATCCCAAACTCTGGAAGATCACCCAGCTCTGCTCTCATATGCTACGCAACGGTTTTTCACCCATGCTATATTGGCTGATTTGTCGTATTCAGACCCTCACGAGATTCTACATAGACTCCTAAATAAAAAAGCGTGGTCACGTTTGAAAGCCCTGAGGGAAGATATTCCGATTGGGTCCCGGATTTTGGAATATGCCAGTCAACTTGGCCTTGTTTCGTGGGTCGCAGATATCCTTTTATCCCAAATTCAATTTATATCTGGGGATCTCGAAGACATTATCGCCACAGTTCACTCTGAAGACAACTACAGGCGACTTGCTTTGAATTGTCCTCCCTTCCTCGATGATAGATGGCGTCTTTCTCAATTCATCATAGAGGACTTCAAGAAAACCTTTCCTCATTCAAGTAACCGGGTTTTAAGGGAGCTTGAACTGAGAGATTATGTTGAATACCCTGAAGAGCAGTCTGCCGCTCAGGGTGGAAATTTAGAAAGACTCGTCCCCGAAGAGTATTTGGTCTCAGCGAGAAGACCGAGGAAACAAAGAAGTGTTGAAAGTTTTGGCTCAGCCAGCAGCCATTCTGGATCTATACATGGCATCTCTGTTGGATGGAATGACGGATCTCTCTGGGGTACAACCACACCAGAAGGTTTGACTAGGCCTAGCTGGATGTCAGACTTTCAAATATAGTCCGCATCGTCATTTCGTACCAATAATAACTAGACCGGGTGAATCACTTAAATCTTCCTAATATAGATTTGCCAACCGGAAGTTGTTCTATACTTTGTTCATGCACAACATCTCGCGCAAGGGGTGAAGGGTGTTTCCCAGGATGACCTATGATTTCTGGACGAAAGGCAAGATTTGTTTGACTTTCGTTACTGCCTGTCTTACTTATGATAATCTACCCATAGCACGTAACTCAACCACTCTAAAACTCGAACGTCCTGGTTTGATATACGGGCTTTGCCTTTCCATCCAGAGCTTCCTTGGCGAAATCCCTCAAGCCCACAAACTTGAAGTCTGGGTACAGGTCTTTGGAAAGTAAGTAGCCAAGATATGTTCCAGTTTCTGGAAGGTTGTCGCCTCTAACCCAGTTCTGGTTCGCGTACTGGTGGACGATCAACAAGACGAAATTCTTGTACGATGGGTCCTGCTTATATGCCTTGCTGGCTTCTTGGATTGCCGCCTCGAGCGATTCCTCTGGGACACTCTGACGCTCAATAGTTTCCCCGCTCAGCTCCTCAACCAATTTGAAAATCTCATCATGAGTCCAGACTTCGTTGTAGGCAAAGACATACTTGTTCAGAGTGCGGGGGTCTTTGATAATGAGCGCCACATATTTGCCAATATCCCTTATATCAATAACGGAAGTAGAATAGTGCCCATCTCCGTATTGTACATTGGTAGGGATCTTTGTCAGATAGTCGAGCTTGCCCGAAGGAACAATGGGGAGAGAAACTTGAAACCATCCACCAACATCAATGACGGTGTAGGGCAAATGGAGTTTCTTGACATGGTTAATAACCTCCTCTTTCTATACAAGTAATTAGCAAACGTTATTAGAGCATGGGCCATTTCTTCCAAGCTTACTATTTCTCTCAACACATTCACCCCCGTTGGGGGGGCAAGAGGTGCAAAGAAACTTGGAATAAACCTCTTAACGCCCACTTCTTTTGCTGCAGTTGCGAGCTTCTTCTCTATATCAGAGGCATAAGGCATAACGCCAGAGACGATAATTTCTTGTCCTTGGAAGGCCTTGATGATTTCCTCGAGTGGCGCCGCCTCGAGATCAAGCGGGACGATTGGCACTTTCTTGTCCTTGAAGCCTTGAAGCTCTGGCTTCTCGGTGGAGGATGGCCTGACAAACGCAGTGATGGCCTGCGATTCTTAGCGACGAAAACGAGGCTCAGATATGCTAGATCTTACAAATTCTTCACTCTCAAGTAAGGCATTGATAATAGATATGCCGGTTTCGCCGGTTGCGCCAGTAACAGCGACCTTGATCTTCTGAGCAGTCATGGTACGAAAAGGTAATGATGAGGAATACTGTGATATTTGGTTTCTTGATTATGATTTAACTACCGAAGAAAGTTCCATTCTCTTCCATGGGATTGCCCTTTTATATCACAATTGGCGGAGTGTTGTCCAATGACGAGATCGCCTCCTCCGCAGCAACTCCGCACCCGGCTTGAGGTTGTGTTGCCATTGCCCCCTCCCTTCGTGAAGCGAATGCCGGTGTAGTGTTAGACGGTAAGCTGATTTATCGCCTGATTGCATCATTTCCACCGCATTGATTTCAAATCGGGCTCCGACTCCCGCTTAGCGAAGATAATGTTGCAGAAGTCCCCGATCTGACACACACAAATGTCACCAGCTCCGATACCCCAGCCAAATTTTCATGCTGTTGGTGCTCAAAGTGGACATGGCTGAACACATGTGATGCGTACAGGGGTAAAACAAACAATCAAACTTGCAGAAATGCCCATTGAGAAGTCTTTGCGTATTCCAATGGTCTCCTGTTATTTCTGTCGACTGATTAGTGTACTACAGCTTTTATCCAGCGACTTCAGCTTATTTGATCAAATACGTTCAATATTACACGCATTCCATGCAGATAAGGTAATTAGATTGATCTGAGTAAAGCCCTGCCAAGTGCTACGGCACCGCATGACACCACTAATTTGGACAATTACCCGGCTGCAAGTCCGACTGCAAACATGATTAATTTATTTGTCAAAGTTTTGCTGAGAAATCTTTGCGGAGAATCTCTTTTAACACGTAGCAGCCATTTCAGCTGCTGTCGTCTTCAAAATCCGCTGTCTAATGCCAAATGCTCTGAGTAGGTGTATCTTCACTCAACATTGTCACGCCACGATCACTTCAAGGCACTATCATCGCATTGAAGTTTGAATCTTCTGATCACCCGTTACAATATCTCAATCCAAAGGCTGCAAGTCAACTAATTAAGGAAATCGTGCTGCTCTGGCTTAATTCTTGCGTGAGGCTATCTTACAAGTCTGAGATGCAACCCTACTGATGTACATAGGCTATGGTAGCAAGTGTTGGGTTTGAACTTGAATTTAATACTCTATTCAATGTAGAGATACGAAAGAATAGTTATGAAAGTCTCGCACACTAAGTGACAACGTTGACTCATCTTGTGGTTTGTAAGAGCGTTGATATCCATTGTCGTTGGGGATCAAAGATATATGAGAACGCTGGGCCCGGACTCAATATCGCCAAGTTACTGGCTCTCCAATAGAAGCAATAAATCCCAAGACTTACTCATGGTAGTTGAAAGTGACTTTATCATGTGCATCAGTTTGGCGAAAAAGGTACGGAGTATGTTTCAATATATAAGTACATGGGGAGAGGAGGTGGTTCTGAACCCCGCCACTAAACATTTCAGGGCTTCAGGAGTTGCGAGTTCCGTTTCTAGTTTTGATGAAAAAGGACGAGTCCATCTATCCCGACATCTTAAGCTCTCCAAGTTCCCCTTCGTTCATCCCTCAACAATTCTACCTTCCTCAAGGATCGAGCGTATGGCTAGGCCCTCTCGCATCTTGGCCGCTTGTTTCTCGTAGAACTCGGCTTTCTCGGTCTTATGATGCCAATCCTCAAGCCCAACAGCCCGGCTCATAGGCCCAGCAAGTTTGTTCAGTCCCTCCCAGATGTTTCCTTTGGATAGACCTTGAAGATAACCTTCCGTATTGGGCCCGCGCTTGAGAAGGGCATCGCGAAGGAAGCATGATTTTTCCACGTGCTGTGTCACTGGGCCACGACGCTCATTGGTGTAACTTTCAAGAGCGGTATTCAAATCGGCTAGAGGAATAGGTTGATTTGGATAACGGGCACGAAGTCGGCGATAGTGATTGACGAAACTGGCCACTGACTCAATAGCTTGATTACCACCCATTGCGCCATTCGGGACCATCTTTAAGCAAGTCAGTCATTCGTGGCCATATAGCTTGTGGAGAAAAGAAGACTCACCTTATGACAAGAGTCCCCAGCAAGGAACATGCGGCCGGCATGCCATACTGCGGCAATTCCCTCCTCAAGAGACACCGTGGTAATATCTCGCCTGTTCGCATACAAATCACCAAAAGTGACGCCAGGTATGATGATAATATTCTTGCACTTCTCAGCGAGCGCTTCGACATATTCCGGCGTGTACTTGGGAGTCTCTTTGTATTTGATGGGCTCTTTGAAGTCATTAAACAAGAACCAGTAAGGCCTGTCATCCTTTCCGGTGAGAATGAAGAGGCCAGTGTCTTTGCGGTGGCTGTTAAAGAATTGACCACCCGTGATGCCAGCTACGCGATTGGAGCAGCCGAATACGCATGCGGACCTAGATGCAAGATCTAAGTAAGTGAGGATTAGCAGGACGTTGGATAATCGAACATGGTAGGTAAGACAAGAAACATACAGTCTGGAGAAGGTGTGACACCCGCGTAGGCTTCAATCTCACGACGCACCGCGCTGTGAACTCCATCTACCCCGGCGACAATATCACAGGTTATCTTGAATCCATCTTCTGTGGTGACAACAGCGCTGGTCTCGGAGTTTTCAACCTTGGAGACTCTGCTTGAAACCCGCACCTTGGACTTGTCGGGTAGATTTTCGTACAGAATCTTCAACAACGTCTGTCGAGGGATTGCGTGGCTTGAATATCCAAGACTAGGAACGAAGATTAAATCAGCTTTGCTTTTCATATGTGAATCTTTCGCTCACGTACAGAGGTGGCAAGTATCGCCCTGCTGTCATCACTCCATAGAGCGTACCGTCGTCTCCATCACGGTGCTCGAAGTAGTCGTGGGGCACGGCATGCTCCATCAGTTTTTCGTACACACCAAGCTGATCTAGGATTCGGAGTCCGTTGGGCATCAGACCGATACTTGCGGCCCCGGGTGGTGCGATGGCACGATAACTTTCAAGCACCAAGTAAGAGATATTTGCCTGCTCGAGCATGTTCGCCAATGCAAGGCCTGCGACGCCTGCGCCAATGATGGCGACTTCCACTTGAATTTCCGAGGCCATTGCGACTGCAAGATGGTGATTTTGTTTCTGTCAATGTCGATTTGCTTACACAGCCTTGGGGACGTATATAGTGGCGTGGAGAGTTTGACCTTGACACATCGAGACGAGATGGTTGGATATTTATATTCTGTTACTTTTTAAGTTCTACCGTTAATAGGAGGAGTTGAAGCAACAATAAAACGCATCTCTAGCTGGTGATGCCGAGAGCCGAGACTGACGGAGGCTACGATGAGACCGGACATTTCCCCATGCAGATTGACAATTAGTTTGAGGAAATTTTTAACTCCGCGGCCGAGGTGAAACACTATTTTAATGTGTCCCTTTATTCGGAGAGCGGCCGGAGAAAAAAGTACGAGTAGTACCGGGCCGAGCCGATGCAGGTCAGATCAGTGACAAGTTCTGAACATGGGGATTTGATGTGCCCGAGATTGACCAGTTTCGCAGAAATGCAACCTCCGAGCGAGCCGCAACCACCACTACTAGTTGGATGAAGAGCTCTTACTAAACGGGGATGGAAGCATTGACCTGCCCGATCTGCGTTTGGTTTTACCAGCCTGATTAGGGCGTAGCTCCCATAAATTCAAAAAACGAACAGATCGTCACATCTAACAAACACTGATCATATCCATCTTCTCGACAAACTCCCGGGA